TTTATTTATTTATTTATTTATTTATTTATTTATTTATTTATTTATTTATTTATTTATTTAATTTATACCCCGCCCATCTGGTCTTCCGACCACTCTGGTCTTCTGACCACTATTGTCTTTAATAGTAAAGACAATAGGATATTACAGAACCTTCAGCCATAGCACTCAGTAAATAAGCAAATACTGGATTCTTACCACTCTTTAAGGTTTTATGGCTACTGGGGTATACAGAACAATTCCATGAAGCAAATTGCTTTCTGCCATTGTGGCAACACCAGAGGTAACCCAACATTTTCCTTTACCATTTCTTAGTGAATCCCTTACCAGTTTTGAGATTTCCTCTTGTTATATAAGGCACCTTGGTTAGACTCAGCTCAATTTTCAATGAACTTGCACATTTGAGGTCTATGAGGAAGTATCTTCCTAGTAGCCATCTTTAGGAAGAGAGTCAGTATTATGCAGCGGATAGTGTGTTGGACTAATACTCTGGACATTGGGGTACAAATATACTTGCCTATGGAAATTCATGGAGGTAAGCTTTACTTTTAAATTTTTACATACTTCAGAAACCTGATTATAGTCATTGTAAGTTGGAAGCAACATTGGGTTACGTATGTTTGGTCCCTGAATTGAGAAAAGCAGGATATAAATGAGATATAAATATAAAATCTGCTCCTTTTAGCTATCATTGCTAATTTCTTTATTGGGCAACTGACTTCCTGCACTTGGCCCATTTTATATTCCTTATTGGGGGAGGGGGGAAGAGAATATAAATATAAAAGCTGACAAGAAACCCTGCTGAAGAGACCATGATTATATGCATTGATAGCTGCAGCAAAAATGTGCAGGCAGAGACAAGGAAAACATGCACCAACTGTTAAGATGGGGGCAGATGGTGTCACATCTCTTAAAAGAGAGGATGGAAGGAGGGGGGAGAAAGAAGGCAATAGCGATTCTCATCTTCACTTGCTAATTGGCTATAAGGTCTGTTATATCTATGTATCTAGGTGGTTCAAGTGGCTTATTATTTTATATTTAAAACACTTTTATTGCATTTAAAAATATGCCTTTGTAAGCAGGAGAAAGGAAGTGTGCCATCCTCCGCGAAAGAACAGATTGAAGTGAATGAAGGTTGCGTCGTGGGAGAGTTGATAAAGATAGATGACACAGAAGGAGGGAGTAACAAAGTCATAGAGGTGTTCTTGGCAGAGGGTAGACAGAAGAAGGAAAAGGAGAAGCTAACAACGTGGAGGTGTGAGATAAAAGAGGAGGAAAGAAGTGGGTGGAGGCAGTTAGAACTGAAGGATGAAGCAGTGCAAATGGTGGAAACAGGAGAAGAAAGAGATCGAATAGTGAAGTTAGTAAGAGATTTTCCTAACCTTATGCGGGGAGGAGGATTATTGCCTGACCCTCCAGAAGCGACAAAGAAAGATAAGTGTGAAGTAGGAGGGAGATGGAGTTCGGGGACAGTACAACCTTTCAAGGATTTGGAGATGAGAGGGACCCCTTGTGGTTTCAGCCCCTATCTCCGGCGGTTGGAGGGGCAGCAAGTGAAACACCCTTGCTGCAGGACAACCTGCGCAGTGTTGAACGCACCCATACTGAACCCAGCGGTAACCTATATCCCTGGAGTGAAGAAACCTTAAAAGATGCTAAAGATGAGAAAGTTGTTAAAGGAAAGTGTTATCATGTGTTGTCTGATGTTGAACTGTTGGACCCGTTTGGTCTAAGAATAGTTGATGTTAACCGCAATAAAGAACCGTTTTTTGTACCTTCAGCGTCATCTCCATCAATTCTTCCCGCCGAAACCCCAGGCTCGCCCACACTTACAAAAGAACCCAATCACAGCCTTGAAAACCCATTATATAACTGAGGACAGTGGATTTTCCAGTGACTTATCAAACAGCAATATGGAAATATCTTCAATAACTTGTCTGTCAGGTATTTAATATTAAAAATCTTCCTTTAAAGATAATCTAGTTGTCTGTACTCCTTTTACTGTTCTTATTGCAATATTTAATGTGTCAATTATTAAATTACCTTTCAGTATATCTTTTGGTATAGTTAAAATGGTCATTAGGACATAGAACCTGTTGTTAATTTATTTGAATCCCACCACTGCCTACTTTCTAGTCCTACTGCTAATAATAGAAATGTGATGCGTTCTTCATAAGAGAAGGGTTTGAGTTCCTGAAATCAAAAAAGCACTGGGTCAGGATGACCAATTTGTTCCATAATACCAGAAAATAAAAACTTAAAAAAACAAATTCAGTGTATTGCTTTAACACAGGAACCGTGGCAAATTACATAAAAACATAGAATACAATACAATCTAACAAAATTTGAATTTAATTCCTGTTCAGAGTTGAAAATTTAAAGACTTAAAATGCATTATATATATCAAAGCATAAAGATTAATATAATTAGCAGACTTAATTATAAAATAGTAATTCAGTGACAAAGGACTCTGAGTAATAATATAACTGGTTGTTTTGGGTTTTTCAGGCTCTTTGGCCGTGTTCTGAAGGTTGTTCTTCCTAACCTTTCACCAGTCTCTGTGGCCGGGATCTTCAGAGGACAGCACTTCCAGGAAGTTACTCCAGAGCACAGAGTGCTTTTCTTGAAAAACTAAAAATGTGGATACATCAAGTTGAAAATGGTAATTTTGCTAGCTTTCCCTTGCTTAATGAAATCATTCTGGAAAATCAGAAAATCACAATTTTACCTAAACTTGTAATACATTTGCAACAACTGAGTGCATCTTTTCATGGATATCTTTCCATGGGAGATATTGGCAAAGAGCAGAGATGGATACTGCATCTATTTTTTTAATCTTAATTCCATAGATGATGGTAATTTAATAAAATACAATGTCATCGAAATATGGGCCAATGCATGTATTCAAATGGAATTTGAAAAACTGGACTTAGAACAATTCTGGTGTGCTTAGTTAGAAGCATTTCCACAACTGGTGAAGGCAGCGTTGCAGACATTTCTACAATTTGCTACTACCTATCTGTGTGAAATGGGTTGTCCATCACTTTTGCATATATAAAAAAATAGAAATCACTTAAATGCAAGTGCTGACATTCGCATAGCTCTTCCAAAAAAGGGATCCAAATTTCAAAATATCATTATGAATAAACAACAAATTAGCCCCTAAAATTGAGACTTTTAAATAGACAACTGCTGGATATCAGCAGAAGCTATACATCAAGCAGAGAATATAGAAATTCTACCAAACACATATGCAGACCACAATCCAGTACTGCTAACCTTAGGGGAGAGATTAAGGAGTGGATTTTGGAGACTTAACACGCAACTGCTGAGAGTAGAGAACTTTGTAAGTAAAATAAAAAATGAGTTGAACTTTTTTTTCCAAATTAACAAACCTCAAGACACAGGAATAACAATGATATGGGATGCAGCCAAAGCATACTTTCGAAGACACGCAATAGAATTCAATGTACAAAGGAAAAAAGAAAGAAAGAAACAATACCAAACCTTAATAACATATTTAAAGAAAGAGGAAGCAGAGCTCAAGAAGGCACCAACAAAAAAGGGACTGCTTAACAAAATAAATATTCTACAGCATAAAATTAATTTACTAGAACAGGAAGAGATGGAGAAGAAAATCAAATTTGCAAGGCAAAATTTTTTTGAAAATGCAAACAAACCGGGAAGATGGTTAGCATATAGACTAAAAAGGGAAAGAGAGAAAACAAGGATCACGGCAATATTGGATAAGCAAGGGAAGGAAGTTTATAAACAAAAGGAGATTGAAAAGGAGATCTATGAATTTTTCACTGAACTATACAAGAAAAAAGAAGGAGAAGAAGGAAAACAAAAAAACTATTGGGACAATATTCCAG